AAATTTGAAAAAAAAAAAAAAAAAAACAAAACAAAGCCAGTCTGCAATTTTAAATGAATGATACTTATTTTCATAATTAGAACCATAAGAAAAATCAGTATATACCAGCTGGCGATTAGAAACCAAAAAATAACAACCATAGTTGCCTGAATAATTATTATGCAAGTTAACTCTTGAAGACAAGATAGAAATGCAAATATAACTAATGGAGGCAAGTGCTTCACAGACCTTATGTCCCTAGTCTTTTTCTTCCTCTTCTCTTGTCCTCCTAGTTTCTTGATCCCATCAATTCCATTCGAGCCATCTAGGGCAATGAGGCTTTCAACACAGACCTCAGCATAGAACACGAAAGGCAAACCTCTAACAGCAACATTTTCAATAGTTTTAGTTCTCAAATCGTACCAAACAAGTCTTTTATCATCACAGTTCAAAAGAACCCTATTGTCATGCTCCGAATACACCAAAGGCCTAACAATATCGTTGCGCTCAATCTCTGGCACACCAATTGATAGAAATTTAGTCCAAGATTCACTTACTCCATATTCCTTCATCATCCATATGTTGACCCGAGACTTATTAGAACACACGACACAAAGAAATCCTCCTATAACATCCAACCTCATATCAAGATCTTTAATCAACATATCAGGTGGCAGAGGAACAGTATAATGGGTCTCAGTTTCAACACTGAAAGCCATAATTCTAACCGATCTGCTCAAATACATGTAGTCAGAATCCTCCACCAGTGTATGCAATGCACCATTGATATGCACACGCCACTTACCCTTGAGAAAGGGGAGCGGATAACCGAAATCCTCTACCCTTCTCCACAAATTTGACTTCAGGCTATAAACTTTGGTCTCAGAACCTATCCACTCATGGCTAATTTCGTTTCTGAATTCGACAACCCTAACAACCTTATAATCGTCACTCCTCGAGTCATAGCCAAATCCATAAGTAGTCTTTGAATAACTGTGGATCTCACTAGGGTAATCAACAGCAGACTCCGGTAAAATCCGGTGATTTCTTGAAAACGGATTCCACACTACAGGTGGCTCGCTCATCACAAGAAGCAATCCATTGCAAGAGTTGGAGATGCTATCGACACTCTTGTAATAAAACGGGGGTTTGATCGCATGGGCTTTGTCAAGTAAATCCAAATCAACGCAATAAAGACCCAGGCCTCCAAGAATCAGATTTTGATTGGAATTCCTGGTTGTTGATTGATGCAGGTGCTGCTTGATGAAACGTTGGCTGTCAATTATAGAGCACCATAGTTTTGCTACGCATCTGAATCGCTTTAGGGGTTTCACAGGCAGGCGGCAGAGGATTTCTATGATGAGTTCTACAGGCAGAATCGCCATCTTCAGTGGCTTCAATTTTAGGGCTCCTAGTTATAGATCATAATACAGAATAAAAAATACGATTCACTCGCAAATAATATACCACAATAATTAAAAAAATGACTTTACCCACTTGGGTGACGGAAAGTCAGTTATTTATTTTAACTTCGAAGCGAAGGGTAGGTATTGACGGCGGCGGCCGGCGGATGCTGTGCTAATTACGTGGTGGAAGTCTCTTCGAGGAGAGGATAAGCAGCGACGAAATGAGGGCATGTGGCCGTGGATTTCATTTATTTGGTTTGTAAAACGCGTTTTATTATTATTATTATTATTATTTTTTTTTTTTCGATTCAGTACAAACCGCGTTTTCTCCAATTTAGTACAAAGGTGACGTCGTGATATTTTTCCTTCTTAAATAATGCTGAACTGTCAGAAGAAAATCGCCAGAAGGACTGACCGACCGTGGGTCCCGCTTGAATATAAAAATGCTGACTTCCCTGTTTTTGTGTTGTTCGGTCATCCCTTCTGTTAGGACTTCTGGTGCTGTAGCATGTTCCTTCTTAAATAATACGAAAATGCTGATTGTCCAGGCCAAAAAACAGGGTGCCGAGGTGGAAACAGATTTCTGGTGCTGTAGCATGTTCCTTCTTAAATAATGCGAAAATGCTGATTGTCCAGGCCAAAAAAAGGGTGCCGAGGTGTTTCCACCTCGGCCGTCGGATCTAGAAAAAAAAATGTATGCATCACCTCAGCCCCCTGTTTTTTACCCTGTTTCTGAGCCTGGCTCAGAAGCAGAACTCTAAATAATGCTGAATTGTCAGAAGAAAATCGCCAGAAGGGCTGACCGACCGTGGGTCCCGCTTGAATATAAAAATGCTGACTTCCCCATTTTTGTGCTGTTCGATCATCTCTCCTGTTAGGACTTCTGGTACTGTAGCATGTTCCTTCCATTTTTAATTTGATTAATGAGAATTTGATTCAGCTCCCGTTTGCCCTCATTAAAATAATAATATATATATATATATATATATATTATTTTTTTTAATCACACATTTTCAATAAAATAATATTACACTTAAATAAAAAAATTCTTTTTTTAACTATATATTCTCCAAAAAATTAATATTTTAAAATACATTATTTTCAAAAATCACATTATAATGCGGCCAAACAAGGGCTCAATGAAATTTTGATATATTAATTGTTGGTAAATCGTTATACAAGCGGTGAGCTACATACAACACAATCCATTTCTTTATTGATAACATTTTTTTATATTTTCTATGTAACCTTTTCTTCACGGTTGTTATTAGTCAGCATCAGTTGATGGATAAGTTTAATAGGGAAATTTGCACCTTGGTCGTGTGTCAAAAATAAGCTAAGGTCTCGAACTTTAAAAAATGAGCAAGTAATCTTCGACTTTTTAATACTCGTTCCATAAAATAGTCATGTTATATTCCTAAAAAAAATTATTCACTTTAAATTTATATGGATAGGGAAAAGTTTTAACTTTCACAAGTTACGTAATAATTTAACAATGATTTGAACGTACTTCTATTGTTAATAACTAATTTGCAGTTCTAAAGAGGGTGACATTGTAATTTCTTATAATTATACTAAATTTTAATTATATTACACTTATATTTTCAACTTTCTTATCGTATACTAATTTTCGATATTTCACTAATTAACAAGTCTATTCTCCTAATATAGTTTCTACACAAATATATTTTTCCACTAATTTTTGATATTCCACTAATTAACAAGTCTATTCTCCTATTTTTAAGCATGTTAACAGAAGTTTTGGATGATAATTGTCACTGGAGATAACTCGTGCTATTTAGTGAAAAATTGGGAATAAGAATACGATGAGAAAGAAAGTAGAGGATTTAAGTGTAATAATAGTAAAAAAATGTGAACCTTTAGAGTAATTAAAATGTTGGACAGATAGTCCAACTTGCTAGAGGTAATATGTTTATATGGTACAGATTTTTCCTTTAATTTTGTTTGAAGAAGTGAAAAAGACAGTGGGGAAAAGGTGCAAATAATTTCCCAAAGAATAGTGCTATTCGCAGTTAAAACTATCGACAGTTGTCATATATGACGTACACTTGACAGTTTTTCATTTGATGTATAATTCAAAAAATCACTACCATATCTACGTATCAAATACCAAATTGTCAAGTGTATATCACATAAGGCGACTATTGACAGTCTTAACTATGAATAGCATTACTCTTTACCAAAATATTGAAAGATAAAATGTAGAAAAATACTTGTTGTATATTATCATTTACATAATATATTACAGATTGATGCTGTGTCAAAAGAAAGTGGAGAGTTTTTTTTTTTTTTTTTTCAATTGTGCTACACGTTCATCACAATTTATAAATTTGTTTACCAACATATGATGGTACTGTAGCATGTTCCTTCCATTTTTAATTTGATTAATGAGAATTTGATTCAGCTCCCGTTTGCCCTCATTAAAATAATAATAATAATTATTATATATATTATTTTTTTTAATCACACATTTTCAATAAAATAATATTACACTTAAATAAAAAAATTCTTTTTTTAACTATATATTCTCCAAAAAATTAATATTTTAAAATACATTATTTTCAAAAATCTCATTATAATGCGGCCAAACAAGGGCTCAATGAAATTTTGATATATTAATTGTTGGTAAATCGTTATACAAGCGGTGAGCTACATACAACACAATCCATTTCTTTATTGATAACATTTTTTTATATTTTCTATGTAACCTTTTCTTCACGGTTGTTATTAGTCAGCATCAGTTGATGGATAAGTTTAATAGGGAAATTTGCACCTTGGTCGTGTGTCAAAAATAAGCTAAGGTCTCGAACTTTAAAAAATGAGCAAGTAATCTTCGACTTTTTAATACTCGTTCCATAAAATAGTCATGTTATATTCCTAAAAAAAATTATTCACTTTAAATTTATATGGATAGGGAAAAGTTTTAACTTTCACAAGTTACGTAATAATTTAACAATGATTTGAACGTACTTCTATTGTTAATAACTAATTTGCAGTTCTAAAGAGGGTGACATTGTAATTTCTTATAATTATACTAAATTTTAATTATATTACACTTATATTTTCAACTTTCTTATCGTATACTAATTTTCGATATTTCACTAATTAACAAGTCTATTCTCCTAATATAGTTTCTACACAAATATATTTTTCCACTAATTTTTGATATTCCACTAATTAACAAGTCTATTCTCCTATTTTTAAGCATGTTAACAGAGGTTTTGGATGATAATCGCCACTGGAGATAACTCGTGCTATTTAGTGAAAAATTGGGAATAAGAATACGATGAGAAAGAAAGTAGAGGATTTAAGTGTAATAATAGTAAAAAAAATGTGAACCTTTAGAGTAATTAAAATGTTGGACAGATAGTCCAACTTGCTAGAGGTAATATGTTTATATGGTACAGATTTTTCCTTTAATTTTGTTTGAAGAAGTGAAAAAGACAGAGTGGGGAAAAGGTGCAAATAATTTCCCAAAGAATAGTGCTATTCGCAGTTAAAACTTTCGGCAGTCGTCATATATGACATACACTTGACAGTTTTTCATTTGATGTATAATTCAAAAAATCACTACCATATCTACGTATCAAATACCAAATTGTCAAGTGTATATCACATAAGGCGACTATTGACAGTCTTAACTACGAATAGCATTACTCTTTACCAAAATATTGAAAGATAAAATGTAGAAAAATACTTGTTGTATATTATCATTTACATAATATATTACAGATTGATGCTGTGTCAAAAGAAAGTGGAGAGTTTTTTTTTTTTTTTTTTTTCAATTGTGCTACACGTTCATCACAATTTATAAATTTGTTTACCAACATATGATGTTACAAGATTTGATTGGTCAAAATCTCATCAAAAATAAAAATAAAAATAATTCAATTTCTTTTTAACATCTCATCAATCTGTAAAAAATTATGTAAATAATGGTGTACAACAAGTATTTTTATTTTATTTTTTATATTTGATTAATGAGATTTTAACCCAATCAAATCTATCCACATGACTGTTGATAAACGAATCTGTAAGTTGGGAGAATGTTAGATATTTATACAATAAATATATTGTGTAAAAAAATAACTAAATTAGATGAAGTGCCTAATCGTTGAAAAGTATGAAATTTATCTAGGAGGTCAGGGGTTCTGTTCATATTCCACGTGAAAAACTAAAAAGTCTTTGATTCCTGGACTTCTTGATTAAACTAATTTTTTTAATTTAAATCATTTTCAAATTTATTTAATGAGTCAAACTAACAAGTATAATATGACCGTTTTTAAACATCTCATTATCAACAATCCATTAAAAATTGCAAATATTTCTGAATCATGGCGTAGGCAATTACATATATTCTGACTATATCAACTCATATCTGATTTTTAAAAAATTACTTAAAAATGAAATTATTATTTTCATATTCTGTAATTTTTCATACTCAAGTTTTATATTTATATATATTTTTTGGAATACGCTTGAGAGCTAAAACTATTCGTGATTGTTGAACAAGTATCTAAATGTACTTAATCAAAACAAGATTTGTGATTGTATTTAAGAGTGATCAAATTGTATTATCTAAAAAGGTGGTTCTTTTGTTGGAAAAGGGTATACAGATGAGAGTCTGTACAAACTCAATGTTTATGTGATTAATAATACCGCATCTAATTTTTTCTATTTATTTGCTTAATTCTTATGATTTGTAGCATGTTAAACTTTGACACGTTAACATATCTCTATTAAAAAAAAATTAATGAGTTTGAACAGCATTCCAAAAACTGATAATTTTCCAAATACGAAATGTTAAACTTGTATTGAATCTAAATATGCTAGAAAACAATTTTATAAAGCTGATAGAGCTACTTCAATTTTAAGTTTACCACATTCTAATTTATGTGATTTAAAAGGATATATTACACGTGGTAGAAATAAATATTTTTTAACTTTCATTGATGATTATTCTCGATATTGTTATATTTATCTTCTTAATAGTGAGGATGAAAGTTATTCAAAATTTGTTTCATAAAAAATTCAAGTAAAGAATTATCTCGACAAAATCATTAAAATTTCAACATTTGATAGAATAAGAGAATATATTAGTGACTTTGACAAATTTCTGTATTGATAATAGTATTATTCATGAGACCTTTTCACCTTATTCTCCTCAATCAAATGACGTAGCTAAAAGAAAACAATAGAATTATTAAGGATATAGTCATTTCAATGCTAAACTCTTCTAGATTACCTTTTTAACATGTGAGGAGAAACCCTTCTTACCGCCTATTTATATTATTAATAGAATTTTCAATAAGAAAAGTAATGAGTCCCCTCATGAAACGTGGAAGTATAGAACACATTCATATAAGCCCCTATTTGGTGCTCATTTTAATTAGATTTTTTTGGACTAAAACTCATTTTTCTAAAGTGTTGACAAGACAGCACAAGCCTGGCACCAAAGTACTCTGCCAAATTGCGAATTTAGACAATGCCATTGAGTTATGTTCTCCCATTTTTGCCCTCGTTTAGCAATTGCTGTCCTCATATTTCCCTTAGAATTTCCAGCCCTACCTTCTGATTTCCCAATCGACCCGAACGGCGCCCTTGCTTCTCCCGCAATCGGATCTCTCTGTTGATGAGATTTTCAAGTCACATCGTTCCGACCACCCAAGATTCGTTGTCCAATATTCGTCGGTTGAAGGTAAGGTAGCCCCATACGAGATCGTGTGGTTCGTGTTCCTTGCACCCGGATCTCTCCGCCTACCATTTCCGGCCAACATCCATCGGAGCACCTTACCAACATCTGCTCCAGGCTCCTACCGACGGTAACTAGGCTCTTCAACAACCATTAGGTAATTGTTCTTCCATTTGACCACCACAACTGCCACAGCTCGTTGTACAGCAAGGTTCGACCTTGATTTAGTTTCAGGGCCTTCTGAACATCGAACTTCCATCACAAATCCGCTCCTCACAATGGATAACTTCGGCTAGCAGAGGAACTGTTTTCCCGAAGACTTGGTAACCATTATACACTCTTCCTTAGAAATGTTCATCTGTAGCTCAATGAAAAAGTTATTGGGCGTTTATTAAATAAGTAAAATTATTAACTAGAATATACTCACAAATTTTTTATACTTTTCTCCTTATATTTTGTCTCCAATTCATGAGTAAACCGTTTCCATAGATTAAGAATGTAATGTTTCTTCCGGGCAACGTCACATGTCAATGCAATTGCAATTGGCTTCTTTCCAGTTCTCCCCCAATAGTAAATTGTAGGTGTTGAACATGTGACCCGAAATGAATGTTTGAAGGGTAGCTAATTTTGAAACTTTATTTTCCTATTCATTCACATTTATTACAAATTGCTCAGACTCTGTGTTTATACAAAATTGATGGGTTAGTTTATGTTCATAGCAAGTGTGTATTTCGTCCGCAATTTAGTAAAGCTCATTTTTTGGTTTTTATATTTCTTGTTTGCTGCCTGTTCCCATTATGCTTCTACGTGATATTGCAAAATGCAATTTGACCGAGGATCATACTGTGCCCCTTTTGCCCTCTCGCCAAATGGTGAACTAATAAAAAAATGTGGAAGTCCCTTAAAAAGCTTTCAAGATGGGAGCCCTAAATACTTGACAATAGGCTTCTTTCCTCCCTGCCTCTTTAATACATCCAGTTAATTTACTTTTGTTACACCTTCGCTGCTTTACAAATTACAATTTTCTCTTACAGCTCGGCACTAGTGGCAGTGCCCACCCGATGCATTGTGCTGCATCCGACCAGCAAGACCCGTAGCCAACGGTGCAAAAGTCAGCCAAATGGAAATCCTTGGAGTCCAAGGTCTTCATTTCAACATGCGAAACCGTGATCGCAAAAGGCCACCGATGAGGCAAATGCTTTTCAACAAAGGGATGGCTGCATATCACAAAAATTTTCAACAAGAAAGCTGGAAAGAACTGGACTATATCCTAGATGAAGAACTACTGGAGTGAACTGCGGGAGCAACACAAACACCTGTTCGAGCTGCTGCAATGTACAGGAATTGAGTACCACTCGAGCACCGGTACAATCGTTGCTCCGGAGCATTGGTGGGACGCCAAAATCAAGGTGCATTATTTCCATTATAACTTCCATGTACTATCATGCTGTGTCTATCTTATTAAAGTTGTGTGTGAGCATGATTGATATACAAATAGAATTTCTTAATAATGCTAATTTCATACTGTGACGCTTAGTATGTGACACTAGTTCATCCACATGATCTAGATCAACATAGAGGTTCATTTGCTCTTGTTAATGCATTGGTTAATTGTCGTTAACTGCATGCATTTGAGTGTTTCCTTCTAGTTCATGCATTTGTTTATTCGTATCCTTTTCCGTTCTAATATCGTGTTTCATTATTCGTTATGTTTTCATTTTCATTTGGAAACAAGATAAGCCAAAGTATGCGAAGTATAAGCACATTGATTGCAACGAGATTTATGACACTTGTGGAAAGCTGTTCGGGGACACCTAAGACGCAACGAAGTACGCGTTGTCCCCAACAAAGCTGTCGCAACGTGGCTTTGACCTAAGTACAGATAGTGATCGAGAAGACGTCGGCGACAAGTTACCAATCAACACAGAGGGAACCGATTCTAGTGGCAGTCCAAACGAGGACAGAGGAAACTCTTTGATGAACATATCCGGGAGGCAAAATGGTGACAAATGGAAAGGAAAACAATGGAGAGACAGATGATATAAGAAACGGTACAGTGCTGGAGACGTGTCGACATCACTTGAGTAGATGGTTAGCGTCAGAACAGATCTGGCCTCCATTGCGAGATCACATCGTAACAGAGGAATGTCGGTCAACGAGTGTGTCGACGAATTGCTCTCGTTGGGTTATGTGAAGAAGGGTGATATGCTCCACTTGTTCGCCATGTAGTTTCTCAGCGACTAAGATGATCAAAATTCGTACTGTGCTGCGAAGACACCAATTCTGTGCTTCAAGTTTGTGGAGTACTGTTTCGAGCGAGACAATATATCATGTGAGTGAAAGGGGTGATTGCTTGGCATTCGACTTATGCTGTTGTGCACTTTCCGATTCATTTTTTTCCCTGCACCTTTTTTTTGTGCATTTTACTTGTGAGATTTAGCTGTAACTGACTTTAGAAGTTAAAAATTTTCTGTGTCGCATGTGAACCTGTTGCCTTGGAGTGATTTGTACTTTCACTATTATATGTACCATATTGTATTATTATATTCTTTTTACATGTGATTGCACAGCATAAATGGGTAGACAACTTTATAATTGGCAGAGAATATATTTCCTGCAACTTGCAATGAATTTTCTCTTTTTAGAAATGAAAACTGATTTGAAAAAATTAAAACATTAATTTTGGGAATGCCATCACAAGTACATTGAGCACTCTATAAATATCAAATGCAAGTGGATACAATTGTTGAGAAGATCCAAGCTATTTGCAATATACAAACACCTTCTCACGCCTCCAGTAGGTTGTAGCCATTACCGCTTGCAAACAGTATTCTACGTCTATAGAGTCATTAATTCACGTCGACGTTGCCCAAAGAGATTGTCGAATGACCCAGTGGTCTTCTCCGGTTCGAAACAGATTGTGACATTGAGTCGTTGTCCAACGACAAGTGGAGTGCCGAAGAAGACATGATGCAACAGCTGCAGGAGAACATTACGGCGTGGCTCGAATATTGTCGAGTTGCGGAGCATATAGTTCGCGAGTACTTGGCACCAAACGGAGCTCGTCGATATCTATTCTCAACTATGCGCTGGCCATATTTTCATGCTGTAGAATATGCATGTGTATCCACGAACGTGCTTTCAAGAATTTAAGATGTATCCACCCATGTTCATGTACTTTACGCACATTCTACGTGACCAGTATGGCATATCGAGCGGCGCGAATATCGACATATACGAACAGGTGGGAATGTTCTTGTGCATCTTGCACATGGTAAAGGATATCAACAAGTGCAAACACTGTTTCGTCACTCATTATAGACCATAACGCACCATTTTAAGACGGTGCTGCGTGTGTACTTAGCTTTCTATGTTACCATGATAAAATTTGATCCGTTGTACAACAAAGGTGTGGCCCACCATCAGCTGAACCCGGAGCGCTATCCTATATTCCAAGTGCGATACTCGCATCCAATAGTAAACTCTTCTTTTCCCAATTTCATTAATGGTTTTTCGAACAACAAAATGGTTGTCTGTGAATGTTTGATATTGCAGGAATGCATTAGTGCAATTGACGGTACGCATGTCAGAGTTGTATTGCCGAGACAGCACGGAGAAATTTTATTGGAAGAAATGCTATTCCGACACAGAATGTCCTAGCGGCATGCAATTCAACCTATGTTTTACGTTTGTCCTACCAAGAACAATGGGGAACATGAACGACAGTTGCATATTGGCCCAAGCCGTACATAGTCCGGAAGTAAATTTTCCACAACCCATAAATGAGAAATATTACCTCGTTGACTCAAGGTTCACGAGAGCGATTTAATTTCCATCACTTTTCCTGTCGAAACGTTATTGAGCGGGCATTCGGTGTTTGGAAACAGCGTTGGAAGATTCTAGATCGGATGCCAACTTGTAGCGCAGACTTCTGTGGTAGTGGCCTCAATGGAAATTCATAACTTCATTCAGAGAAACGATCGGCTCGATGAGGGTTTCCGAAGAGCGGAAGAAATGGATGACGACGAGGTTGAGATCGACCTTCTCGATGAACAAGATGAAATTGTAGCCGAGATGGATGTCATAGGCGAGGAGAACATGCCATGGCAACAACTATGTGATTACATGACACAGGCATTACGTTAGTAGTTGAACACGGGGGAGAAATTATACTTTTGTTTCCCATCATTTCGTTATTCGTGGGACATACGTTTTATTATGTTGTTGATTCAAAGTGTCGGTAATCGTTGTCCGTAACCCGTTAATTTTCTATGTTTTCGTTTATGAAAATTAATCGTGTTCCGTTTATTTAACTTGTCAAATATCAAATTTGTGTGAGTGTGTGTACGTATTAATTGTCGAAAACCACGTACCTCCAAGCACATTTTCACTCATCTTCAAGGGCAGTAATTGAAATTTGGAAAGTGGGTCAATTGGAAATAAATGCTGCCCAGAAACTTGCAGGAAACTAATTGTCAGAATGCATTAATTGCACACCTCTGAAACCCACAGATTTCACTACTATTATGGAAAAAATGGGGTCAGAATGGGGGCCAAACCGGGGTTAAATATCTTAAAGGTTGGGGGTATTTTAGCTAAACATTCTATTCCAGTACCTAAGAGAATTAAATTTGGTCTGAAAACTGTTGCTTATGCTTTTATAGGTTATGCTCTTTGCAGTAATGCCTATGGATTTTTAATCATAAACTCCAAAGTAATTTGATTGATAAGAACACAATTTTTGAAACTAAAGATCCTGAATTTTTTTAAAACAAATTTCATGTTAAAGAAAAATCTGAAGGACTAACTAACTCTATTAGTATTCCTTCTAGAGTTAGAGAAGGGCCTAATGAATTAGAAGAAGCTAAAATTAGGAGAAGAAAAAGACCTATGACTACTACTTCATTCTATCCCGACTTTCTAACCTACCTAATTGAGGATAATCCTAATACTTTTAGTGAAGTTACGTCTTTACCGTAATTTTTATTTTGGAAGGAAGCTATAAATAGTGAATAAGATTCCATTATATCTAATAATACCTGGAAGTTAGTAAACTTACCTCAATAATGTAAGACAATTGGATGTAGATGATTGTAAGAAGAAGCTTAAACATAATGGTTTGATTGATCAGTTTAAAGCAAGACCTGTAGGTAAAGGCTATAAACATAAAGGAGTAGACTTCTTTAATATTTATTCACCTGTTACTAGAATTACCTCTATTAGGATGTTAATTATGATTGCTTCATTATATGTTCTTATTATACATTAAATGGATATTAAAACTGTATTTTTAAATGAAGGTTTCGAAGATGAGATTTATATGGACCAACCTGATGAATTTGTTGTAGAAGAATTTGATGATAAATTATGCAGACTTAAAAAATTCCTTTGTGACCTTAAACAAGCTCCTGAGTAATGGTATGAAAAGTTGATATAGTTTTGACATCTAGTGGTTATGTAATAAATGAAGCAGATAAATACATATATAGCAAATTTGAAAATAATTTTGGTTTGATAATTTGCTTGAGTTGATGATATGCTGATAATGGAACTAGCTTAGATATGGTTAATAAGACCCAACAATTTCTGAAAAAGAATTTCAAAATGAAAGGTTTGGGTCTTGTTAATATTATTCTAGAAATTAAAATAGTAAAACACGCGGGACGAATTATTTTGACCCAATCTCATTATGTAGAGAAAGTGCCTAAGAAGTTTAACTAATACATTTGTATTCCTACTAAAACACCTTATGACGCAAGTCGGTATTTTAGAAAACATTTAGGTCTTAGTGTTTTTGCTTTAAAATATGCTAGTGTGATCAGATGTATCTCATGAACCGTACAAGATATGCGGTCAATAGATTTAGCAGGTATACTAGTAATCTTAACAGTGAACATTGGAATGCTCTTATTCGCATCTTAAGGTATTTGAGATAAATTATTGACGGGGAATACATTATACCAAATTACCTGCTCTAATTGAGGAATATAGTGATGCTAATTAGATTTTCGATACCAATGAAAATAAATCTAAGAATTAATATGTATTTACCTTATGAGATGGTACTGTATCTTGGAAATCGACTAAGCAAACTTGCATTGTGAGATCTACTATGAAATCTGAGTTCATAGATTTAGATAAGACAAGTGAGGAGGTTGAATGGTTAAAGAATTTTCTCATGCACGTTCTTTTGTGGTCTAAACTATTTCTAGCTATTTTTTATCCTTTGTGACAGTCGAGTAGTTATTTAAAGAGCTTATAATTCATCCTACAATGGAAAGTCTAGACATATTCATAAAAAGCACAATATTTTGCATCAACTGCTTGAGGATGAATATAGCTATTGATTAGGTGAAGTTAAGGATAAAATTGCTAACCCATTAATTAAAAGATTAGCTAGAGAGCTAGTTTAAAAAACATCAAAGGGAATGGACTAAAGCCTATTACAAACTAAATCACCTATAATGGAAATCCAACTTTGCGATCGAAGATCCCATGGACAAGGTTCAATGAGACAATAAAGTTATTGGAGTGGTCCGTGGGGGTACTACATTGGATTTATTCCAAACTCCTCCCTATAATGCGTAGTGCCGATTATATCGATCAGAAAATGAGCTAATGCTCTTATGCTTTTAATAATTGATATTTAGTAGGGTGTTTAGATACAGTGCACCTTTAATAGAAGCAATATTTGAGTGTGGAAGTGGGGCCGCTTTCTATGAGAGTAGAGGCTAATTCTCTAGAACACTCAAAGAAACTGTGAAAGTTCATGACCAAAATGAACACAACCGCAATAACTCGATGATTGTTTTAGAAGTCATGGGTGGGTTCTATTGTAATATTGTCTCAGTTTATAACTATAATTGCAGAGCTCAAGACATAATTCACTTTACATTTAGCAAACTCGATAAAAATATATAAAGTCATGGCTCAAGTCGATAGACAACTAAGCATGAGTGATTTCTATTGTACTACAGAATAATATTTATATTTATTTTATTTCTTTCATGTGGGGATTGTTAGATATTTATACAATAAATATATTGTGTGAAAGAAATAACTAAATTAGATAAAGTACCCAATTGGTGAAAAGTGTGACATTTGTATGGAAGGTCGAGGTCGAGGGTATGGTTCACATCTCAAGTGATAATTAAGAACTTTTTGGGCTTCTTTGATCGAAATAATTTTATTTATTTATTTTAATTATTTTCGAATTTATTTAATAAGTCAAATAAGCTAGTATAATATGACCGTTTTTAAATAACCTATTAAAAATTGCAAATATTTCTGAATCATGATGGAGACAGTTATATATATCTAGCTATCTAAAATAATATCTATTTTAAAAAAAAACGAAATAATCATTTTCATATTCCATAATTTTTCATACTCGAGGGTTATATTTATATGTATTTTTTGGAGTACATCGAGAGTTTTAAAATCGTCATTAACTGTTGCGACCTTCGTGGTTGCTCTATAAGTGGTTTGTTCGATCATTGTATGATGGGAATACCACAAAGGTCACAACGGTTAATGACGAGCAATTTTACTTTAAGA